GAGGTCACTCCCTACTTAATACCTGCAGTTGGCTTCTCATCACACTCAGAACAATCACAAAGCCCCCCAGAGACCCTCCATGACATGCGCCCACAACCTGTCCACCCTCGTCTCAGGTTTTCCTCCCCACTCACTCAGCTTCAGCCACACTGGCCTCCTCTGGTGTATTTCTTGAATACATCAGACATACTTGTGCCCCAGGGCCTTTGCACTGACTATTCCCTCTGCCTGGGACATCCTCCTTCCAGAGAGCTACCTGGCTTACTCCCTCACCTCCTTCAAGCTTTTGCTCATTTCACACCTTCTCATGAAGTCTACCCAGAGCACCCTGTTTCAAAGATGGGTCTCACAAACCCCAAACTACTGACCCCCATTACCCTGCTCTACCCTCTTCTTTCCACTGCCCGTGTCATCTTCTAATGTGCTATATAATGTACCTCCTTATCACGTTTCTTGTTTTTTGTCTGCCTCCCCCCACTAGACTGTAAGCTCCAGGAGGTTGGGACAGGTGTTTGTTTCATTCTCAAACGAATCTCAAGACGAGAGCAATGCCTGGACTATAGCAGCCACTCAGTCAAGGACGGCAGGGTAGAGCACACGCGGCTTAAGTGGGGAGGGAAGCTTGCACTGATCCAGGAATCTGTACATTTATGTCTTAATCCAGTTTCCTAAGAATTGGTTCTTGGAATAAGGCTAGTAGCTATAAAGCACACTTTTTGTTGGAGGAAAGAAAAATATTATTCTAGCCTTTTGTTTTTGACAGGTGCCAAGAACCATCAGGCTCTACGATTCCCAGAGGAAGGAAATGTGGGCCTCACCCAACAGCCTGCAGGGAAGCCTCAGGCCAAACAACACACAGGGCAGGAACACAGCCCCACCCATCAGCAGACCTCCTAAGCCACAAAGGACTCTAGACATGGCCCTACCCACCAGAGGTCCAGGACCAACCTCACCCAGCAGTGGGCAGACACCGGCTCCTCCTGCCAGGAAACCTGCATAAGCCTCATCCACCAGAGGGTAGATACCAGAAATAAGAAAACAACAAACCCAAAGCCTGTGGAAGGGATCCACAAACACAGGCCAGACTCTACATTAGGACCTGCTGGACCCTGGCCCTTGGGTGACAAGAGAGGTGTGCACTGCTGAGATGCACAGGACATCTCCAACAGAGGGCCACCTCTTCAAGGTCAAGAAACGTAACTAACCCACCTAAAAGTATGAATACAAAGACAGATAATACGAGGTGGCAGAGGAATATCTCCCAGGCCAAGGCACAAGATAAAACCCCAGAAAAAGAAGTAAGTGTTGAGAAGATAGGCAATTTGTCTGAGAAAGAGTTTAGAGTAATGATGGTGAAGATGTTCAGAGAACTCAAGAGGAATATAGATACACAGAGCGAAATTTTTAGCAAAGAGTTGGAAATTATAAAGAATACCCAAACAGAGTTGAAGAATAAAATCACTGAAATGAGTAATACACTAGAAAAAATCAAGAACAGACTAAATGAGGCAGAAGAACGGATCAGTGAGCTAGAAGACAGATTAGTGGAAATCACTATTGCAGAGCAGAAAAAAGATAAAAGAATGAAAAGAAATGAGGGTAGTTTGAGAGAACTCCAGGACAACATGAAGCACTCTAATATTCGCATTATAGGGTCCCAGAAAGAGGAGAGAGAGAGAGAGGATCTGGGAATATTTTTGGAGAGATGATCACTGGAAACAGCCCCAACCTGGGAAAGGAAACAGTCACCCAGGTCCAGGAAGTGCAGAGAGGACCACACAGGGTCAACGCAAAGAGGAGCACACCAAGGCACATAAACTGACAAGTCATCAAATTGACAAAATTAAGGATAAGGAGAAAATATTGCAATTAGCAAGAGAAAAGTATCAGATAACATACAAGGGAGCTCCCATAAGGTGATCAGCTGATTTTCCAGCAGAAACTCTGCAGGTCAGAAGGGAGTGGAACGATATGCTTAAAGTGATGAAAGGGGAAAACCTACAACCCGGAACACTCTGTCCAGCAAGGCTCTCGCTCAGACTTGAGGGAGAAATCAAAAGCTTCACAGACAAACCAAAGCTAAAAGAACTCAGCACCACCAAACCAGCTTTACAGCAAATGTTAAGGGAACTCCTCCAGTCGTCAAACCATAAGAAAAGAGAACCAAAAGAAGAAAGAGGAAAAAAAGACCTATAAAAACAAATGCAAAACAATGAACAAAATGGCAATAAGAACATATGTATCAATAATTACCTTAAATGTAAATGGAATAAATGCTCCAACCAAAAGACACAGACTGGCTGAGAAAACAAGGTCCACATACATGCTGTCTACAAGAGACCCACTTCAGAGCCGGGGACACATGCAGGCTGACAGGAAGGGGACAGATAAAGATACTCCACGTAAATGGAAACCAAAAGAAAGCTGGAGTAACAATACTTACATCAGACAAAACAGATTTTAAAACAAAGGCTGTCGCAAGAGACAAACAGAAGTCCAAGACCAGATGACGTCACAGGTCAATTCTACCAAATGGTTAAGGAAGAGTTAACACCTGTCCTTCTGAAACTATTCCAAAACTTTGCAGAGGAAGGAACACTTCCAAACTCACCTATGAGGCCATCATCACTCTGATACCAAAACCAGGCAAATATCACAAAAAAGGACAATCACAGGCCAGTATCACTTATGAATATAGATGCAGAAATCCTCGGCAAAATACTAGCAATCAACTCCAGCAACGCGTTAAAAAGATCTCACACCATGAATGATCAAGGGAGAGCTATCCAAGGGGTGCAGGGGTTTTTCAGTACCTGCAGATCAATGAACGTGATGCACCCCAGCAACGAACTGAAGAGTAAAAACCGTACGATCGTCTCAACAGATGCAGAAAAGGCTTTTGATAAAACTCAACACTCATTTATGACAAAAACTCTCCAGAAAGTGGGCACAGATGGGACACACCTCCACATAATAAAGGCCACATACGACAAACCCACAGCTAATGTCATACTTAACAGTGAAAAGCTGAAAGCATTTCCTCTAAGATCACGAATAAGACAAGGATGCCCACTCTCCCCGCTTTTATTCAGCACAGTTTTGGAAGTCCTAGCCATAGTAGTCAGAGAAGAAAAAGAAATAAAAGGAATCCAAATTGGAAACAAAGAAGGAAAACTAGCACTGTTCACAGATGACTTGATACCATACATAGAAAACCATAAAGAAGTGACCGGACAACCACCAGAGCTCACTGGCGAGTCTGGCGAAGCTGCAGGACACAAAACCAACGTGCGGGAACCAGCTGCACCTCTACACACCAGCTATGAAAGAGCAGAAGTAGAAGTTAAAGAAGCAGTGCCATTCACCATCACGCCAGAAAAAACAGAGCACCGGAATAAGCCTACCCAGGGAGGCAAAAGACCTGTACTCCAAACACTGAGACACGGATGAAAGAAACTGAAGACAACACCACCCAATGGAAAGAGACACCACGTTTCTGGGTGGGAAGAATCAGTATTGTTAAAGTGGCCACACTGCCCAAGGCAACCTATAGATTCGATGCCATCCCTATCAGATTACCCAGGACATTTTCTCACAGAGCTGAAACAAAAAATGTTAAAATTTTTACGGAAACACAAAAGACCCCGAATAGCCAATGGAACAGGATAGAGAGCCCAGAAATAAAGCCAGGCCCTCACAGTCAATCAACCTACAACAAAGAAGGCAAGAATACACAATGGAGAAAAGACAGTCTCTTCAGTAAGTGGAGCTGGAGAAACCAGACAGCTATAAGTAAGAGACTGAAATTAGAACATTCTCTAACACCATGTACAAAAATACACTCAAAGTGGAGTAAAGACCTAAATGCAAGACCAGATGCTATAAAACTCCTAGAGGAAAACATAGGCAGAACACTCTCGGACAGAAATCACAGCAATATATTTTTTCAACCAACTCCTGGAGTAATGGAAACAAAAGCAAAAATAAACAAATGGGATCTAATTAAACTTAAAACTTTTACACAGCTAAGGATACCATCAGGAAAACAAAAAGGCAACCTACAGAATGGGAGAAAATACTTGCAAATGATGCGTCTGACAACAGACTAATTTCCAAAACATACAAACAGCTCATACAGCTTAATATCAAAAAACAAGCAACCTAATCAAAGAATGGGCAGAAGACCTAAATAGATATTTCTCCAAAGAAGACACTCATATGGCCAACAAGCACATGAAGAGATGCTCAACATCACTAACTGTTAGAGAAGTGAAAATCAAAACTACAATGAGGTATCACCTCACACCAGT